TGAGTAGATATCCAGGTCATTCATTCACCAGACATCGCCATTATGGATAATAATACTAGGGAATTGATGGATATGGACAGAGTTGTGGGGCATCTTAGTTACTTATCACTGAGACACAATAGCCAACACCCACAACTCTAAGGAGGAAAGGTTTATTATGGCTCACAGTTTGTACAGGTTTCAGGTCATAGTTGGCTGGCTTCAAGGTAAGGTGGCATGCCAGAGGAGAAACAGGTCATGACATGGTAGGAGGAAGCAGAGAGAAAGAGAGAGAGGGAGGGAGATAAACCCTTTCAGGCCACACCTCTAATGACCCACCTCCTCTGACCATACTTTGCTTCCCAATATTACATTTAATTGTAAATTCATCAGGGGACTAATCCACTGATGAGTCTCATGCCCCCATGATCCAATCATTTCCCCAAAGCCCCACCTACAAGCATATGAGGCTTTGTGGGGCAGTGTCTAGATATGAACCATAACATAGGTCAGGGAGGATTCCAACCAGATTTCAGAAGAAGGCCTGAAAAGCCAGGGCATGAAGCAGTGAAATGAAGCCTAACATGTAGTAGAGACTCCGGGGAGTTGGTGATGCCAGGAATGTGAAATATCAACTGAGGAAGCCCAAAAGCAGTGAGTGGAGCCATCCCAAGAGAGAAGCCATGTGGGGCGCAATCAGCAAAGCTGCAGGGGTGCAGCCCCCCAAGCCCTTTGGAGTTTACATCTTGCCGCCATAACTTCTCCAGCTGTTGGACACAGAACTACAGGATTTAATTGCTTCCTGGGTTTTGGTCTTGCTTTCGTTCCATTCCTCACTACCCCTTGGTGCTCCCATTTGGAATGGGAATATCTAGCCTGTGCTAGATATTGGAGGTTGGAATTTTTAAACTTTCTTTTTCATTTTTGCAGCAGCTCACAGATAAGCATTTTGTTTGTCTCAGAGGAGATTTTGGATGTGGACTTTTCAGCAATGCTGAAATTGTCAAGACTTTGGCAACTTTTAGAAATGGATTACATGCATTTTGCATAGAGAGCTGTGCATAAGCCTTTTGGGGGTCAGAGGAAGAATATTATGGTTTATATCTAGATGTCCCACAAGAGCCTCCTGTACTCATAAATAGGGTCTTTTGTGAGGTGATTGGATTATGGGAATGTTATAGCTGACTTGCTATTAGAAGGCAGGGTATGGTCAGAAGAGGCAGGTTACTGGGGGTACGACTTGGAAGGGTCTATCTCTCTTTTTTGGCTCCTCCCTTCCCTGTGCTTTCTGGCCATACTAAAGTGACCAGCTTTCCTCTGCCAGGCCCTTCTACTGTGTCTTTCTGCCTTGTAGCCAGTCAATGATAATCTAAAAATGTGAGTCAAAATAAACCTCTCCTTTAAGTTGTGGGTATTGGGTATTTTGTGTCAGTGGTGAGGAAACTGACTAAGATACCTCCTGTCCTGGATGGGTGGCCAGCTGCAGTGTGTCTACCTGGATATTGGTTTAGTCTCACAGGGAGATCTCCGAGGATCATGTGTGTGCATATGTGAACATGTGCACATCCATGAGGATCTCTTATTCTCAGTCTGTTTTCTGATCTACCAACTCAATCTGAACATTACTCCTTTCATATTTTCTGATTCTCTATTTTTGTGCCTCCAAGGCACCTCATGATTCCAGCACAGATGATGGTACTGATGAGCAGTACCACTGTGTGAGGTTATGACATCTTTTATATGCCAGTCCTTTCAAAGTACTCTGTGCTATCTTTTTCACTTTTTCTAACTGGATCTATTTCCTTCTCTAACCCTAGCACTTATATCTTAACTCATACCCTCTGAACATGGGAACCAAGTGAGTCACTCCAGGCAAAGCATGAGTTTTACCACGAGTTTATTGAATGCCATACCTCAATTTCCAGTGCACAGTCAGTGCCCGTCCTGTCCGATGAGAAGCAGGTGCCACGTTGGCATTCTAACTGATGTTAAATGTCCATGTCTCACCAAACTTGATCATGCTGGGCAGACAATTCCATGGTTGGACAGCAAATGCAAATGATAAAGAGAATATTATGAGAACTTCTTTAAAAGTGTGTTGTAGCTCAGTTGTGACTGAAGATAATGAAGCACTTAACACCAAGTGCTAATACCTGCTTGAACCAGAGGGCCTCCAGCTGTTGCTGGAACATTCTGGATACAGTAAAAAATAGATTCTTGGGCTGGGGATTTAGCTCAGTGGTTCCACCGCCTGCCTCGCAAGTGCAAGGACCTGAGTTCCATCCCTGGTACCAAAAACAAAACAAAATGAAACAAAACAAAACAAAACAAAACCCAGAAAACAAAAATAGATTCTCACCAAAGAGTGCTAGGGCTTCATTCTAAGAAAACTCATTTTTTGAGACATATTATTCCTGGAATGGTGGGAATACTAACTTGGGTTTATTATATGTTAATGTTGAAAATGTGCCTGTTAATTTTGATATTTTCTGAGGCATGAATATTGTGCGGATTTCTCATTTTCATACAGAATCTTTCCTGCAGGATTTTTAGTAAGTCCTTCAACAAGATTAGAGAAGTAGTATAGAGTAGAGGTCAAGGTCAAGGCTGTAAAAATCAGAATTGACTGGGTTGGAATCATGGCCCTACCACTTGGTCATTATATAAGCTTGGGCCTTAGTTTGCTTTTCTGTAAAACTGAGATCATGACTACCTTCCTTCTCTAGTTGTGGGGGAGATCAGATTAGACAATGTTCCCAGAGTGACTGAAACAGCTAGAAGGACTGCATCTCCAGATTGGAGTATTCTATCTAAATAAATTAAGTCCCTGACTTACAAGCATTCAAATTGCAAACTTTCACAGGTATGAATGGACCTCACATTACGAACATTTGTAGATGTGAACAAATCACAGAAGTAGCTCACGAGTCTACCCGACGTTGTCACAGCTGTGGTGCTGTGTAGTCACTGTACAGTGCAATAGTGTACACTAGCACAGTGCTCAATCAGAGCCCAGGAGGTCTGGAAACAAGAGGAAAAGCAGTGCTAAAAATATTTTATTTATGGTTGTTATACAGTACTGTACCATCATTTTAAGGTAACTATAAAAGTAAAAATAGTTTATTTACAGTATTTTTGTGTGTGTTTGGTTTTTTTATGCTTTGCATTGTGTATTTGCATCAAAAGTATATAAGACTCACTTTGCTGGACTTAACCAATCTGACTTACGAACATTCTCCCCAAATGGAACTCATTTATAAGTTGGGGACTTACTGTATGATTTTAGGAAAATAAACCAGGAACTTCTGAATGGAACATTTAACTCTAGGGTGACTTTGCAAATAGTGTCAGTGTCCCAAATGAGGTCCCGCTCAGTTCAAAGTGATAAAAATATGTCAGATTTAGCAAGTTCTTGAACCTGTATGCACTACTGTTTTGTTCATGTTTGCATTCCCAGGAGCTAGCACAATACAGTGTACTGGCAGACAATAGGCATTTAAAAAAAAAAAAAAAAAAGAAAAAGCTGGTATTCCAGGCCTCTAGGCTTGCTTTCTTCCTAATCTAATCTTTCTCTGGCAATTCTGGGGGTGGAACCTAGGACCTCATTCTTGCTAGGCAAACACTCTCCCACTGAGCTACATCTCCAGCCCATGATAATTTTTCTTTACTGAGGGAGTTTTCTTTCCAAATGGAGATCTAAACCTGCTTTGTGCTTCTTCCAGCTACCCAGAGGAAACAGGAAAGAGCACACCTGGCTTCTTGTACCTCTCCTAGGATTTCTGATGCCTCAGAATGGGACAAGGACTGGACAGAGGAGTGCCTCCTAAGAAGAGCCTTGGTTTAAAAATCTAAATATTAAAACAGAAACACTAAACCAGCTGGAAGAGAGGTTAGGTAGATCTCTTGAAGACATTGGTGTAGATTTCATGAGCAAAACCTCAGTGGCATGTGAATAGCACAGAGAATCAACAAGTGGGATCTCTTCTTTTTAAAAAGCTTCTGCACAACAAGAGAAACCACTAACAGCATGAAGAGTCAACCCACAATGTGGGGAAAAAATTTTTACCTGCTGTTCCTTAGACAAAGGTCTACTATCTAGAATCTATAAAGAATTTTAAAAATCAGACCTCTCAAATTTAAAGACCTACTCCAAAAATGAGCATCTGAAATGAAGAGACATTTCTCACACAAATAAGTAGACATGGCAAATAAACATATGAAAAAACATTCAACATCACTGGTCATTCAAGAGATGAAAATAAAAATAATGCTGAGATTCCACCTCACCCCAGAAAGAATGACTGCTATCACGAAATCAACTAATAACAAATGCTGGCAGGGATGTGGGGCAAAAGAAACTCTTCTCCACTGTTGGTGGGGGTGCAGACTGGTGCAACCACTGTGGAAATCAATGTGGAGAAATCTCAAAGAATTAAGGTTGGAGGTCCCATTTGACCCAGCTATTCCACTGCTGGGTACCTTCCCAAAAGAATTAAAAGAATCATACCACAGTGATATATGTGCACCCATGTTCATAGTGGCACAGTTTGTAATAGCTAAAACTTGTAAACAGCTCAATTCCCATCAACTGGAGACTAGATAAAGAAAATTTTTATAAAATGGAGTACTATTCAGCCATAAAGAATGAGAAATTAAAGACATTTATAGCTAAATGATGCACATTGAGGCGATACTCTTAAGTGAAATAAATAGGACACACATGGGTAAATACCGAATAGTTTCTCTGGTGTTAGAAACTGAAAGTGTAAATAAGGACCAAAAGGTATAATAGATAATGTGAAATGGGAAGAAAAAGGGCAAAGAGGAAGGGGAAGTAGGAGGGATAGGGGAAAGGAAAGAAGGGAATGGAATTAATATGAGAAAATGAAAAAATGGAAACAAAGTCTATGTAAATAGGAGGGGTGAAGGAGTTAAAGGGAGGGCAGGGGAATGGGGAAAAAGTAAGAACCAAAAGAGATTACGTAAAGGTGCAAATTTCCAATGATGAATGTCATTATAGTGTATACCTAAAATGTACCAATAAAATTAATAAAAAAAACCTACAGGGGAGGAGCAGAGGAACAAATGCAATCACCTACTCTCCTCCTGCCTTTGGTTCTCCTGCTGTGGATTCCCATCAGGTAAGCCGAGCTGGAAGTCAAGGTACCTGGAACTGTCTACATGGGCCAGATTTGAGAGGTGCCCAGGTCCAGAGAAGGGTGGGCAGAAGTATCTTGGATTTGTAGGGCCAAATATAAGAACCAAAGAGGTTCTCATTCAAATCCCCTGGAAGGGTTAGAAAGGCATGCTAGGCACACAAACACTGTGGGTATCTCCACTGCCTGGTACAGGAGATATTTCAACATCCCTGGACATCAAGCCCAAAGTTCTCCCACTACACAATCTCCAGAGGCCCAGAATTTGTCCTATGACCACTAGTGTCCTATCTTATCAGAGACTCTTTCAAACCTATGCCTGGCTTTTAAATGCCTGTAAATAATCTAGCTGCTTTAATTCAGACATTCCTTCTTCATTTCAGAGCACATTTGTAGTTGTTTTCCACATGTATTCCATCCCACAGGCAGTTTATACTACTTAGCATTAAAAAATTACCTATTGAACACCATAGTCCTTAGATCAATCTTAGATAAACCTCTGGGTGTAATTTTATATTTCTGAAGGTAGATTTATACTTTTCCCATTGAGCCCTTCTGTGCTTCTCTTATAAAGTTTTCAGGTCACAATCGACAGGTTGTTATAGACGTCCCATTGGCTCAATCAATTTCACCTTGTATAGAGAGAATTAATCTGCCACGTTTTCTAGACATTAGCAATAGATAGAAATCCTGTAATAAAGTGTGCTATTATCTCTTTTTGAAAATGAATAACGAGGCATGACAATTTCTTTCTAAAGCAATAATCAAGAGAGAGAGCCCTGCATTTAATTTATTATATGAGCCCATAGAAAAAGCAAAGGAAAAATAAATATTTCTCACCCATCTGAGTCAATGTCAAGCTTAAATTATAGGTTCTTGTAACTTTAACTTAATTGCTATCACCAAGAAGCAGGGATTGCTGTGATCAGATATCTCATGGAACACAAAAGCACTAATCCTTGACATTTTGAAGGTAGTATAATTCTCTTCACCTCAACCTGCACTGATTTTCTTTCACAGTGAATTAAAAAAGAGAGAGAGAAAGAGAGAGAACCAAAGACAAATTCAAATGTAAGGAAATTTAAATGTAAGTCCTGTTATTAAAACACAATCTGTAATAGACAACATAGGTTATGGCCTTTCCCAGTGTTCATATTTATAATGAATAATAATATTGTTATTAATACCAGTACTTGGTTTATTTGAAGTTCCATACTTTCTTTTTTTTGTGTTAATATACTTTTACTTAACTCAAATTTCTGTCTTGTTTCTCAGCTAGAGGAAAGATGAAATGGGAATTTTCTCTATCCCTTCACCTTCTAGAGAATAGCCACATTTTTGGTTTTGTTTTATTGCTGTGCAATTTCACTGTCCAGTATGGCAGCCACTAACTGCATGTGGCTATCAAGGGCTTGATATGTGGTTCTTCCAAAGAGGCTATGCTCTGAGTGTGAAATATACACTAGCTTTTAATGGTACCAAAAGTGGATGGAAAATATAGCTAATAAACTTATATACTTTCTTAACACCAAAAATGTAAACTTCAGTTTTTGTGGCCTGTTATCAAGGTCAGTATGATGATTGGAATGTAGGCTGGGAACCAGCCCACCCAACCGCCACCCACCCCTAGGAATAAACCAAGGTGCATGGCATTGATGTGCGGAAGGGAGATCTGCCCTGCCCCCACCCAAGTCTGTACCCGGAGCAAGGGAATTCCTTCTGCATCTTTGGGTCCCATTCTGACTCTGTCCTTGTTTTTAATGTCATAGTTTCACTCATTTGTCATTATTGATTAGCTTCAGAGAAATTGTGAAGTACTTCAAGCATATAGAAAACAAGAAAATAACACTCATGTGCCCATCACA